TTGATCTTTAGTTGATTTTTAAAATGCAAGTTGGGAAGTTTAGGCTATTCAGGTATTTCTTCTTCCTTTCATTTTCTCTAATCTCTGTTTTGGAAGAGCCATCTATATGATATACATAGTGGCCTCTTCTAACAGTCTGACAGTTTTGATGCTGTGCTGTGTGTTTTTGTTAACTTCGTTCACCCAGTTTGAGTCATTCTGGTAACTATAGTTAAGATTCTTCCTTTCTACTCAAGCATCTTATGTGTGTTCCATATTCAGTTTACCTCAGAAGCTGTTTCTTCACATTCTGGAATTCCATTTTGCCCCTTAGAGTGTCCTTTTAACTCCTGAAAACCCATTTCTTCTCCGATCACTCCAAATCTCTGTCTGGTAACCCTACCAACCTACCAAGGTCTGTTGGCGTGCTTGTATCTGTGATGTTTTCTCTTGTCTCTTTCCTGCCTTTTGCATGTCTTATACATGAAGCAGTGTGGGTTCTGGTGTATAAACTACTGGGTGTGTTTGCCTCTGACAGCATCATGCTGTGCTATGCCTGGGCTGTGGTGCAGTCAGAGTCTTTCAGAAAGCAAGCTGAGGTGCTGCTAAGCTGAAGCTCTCGTCAGACAGGCTTTCTCTGTGGTCGCTATATTCCTAACTTGTGCCGCTAATGCAGCTTTAAGGGAAAAAAAGGCTCTCCAGGCATGGTGGTGTGCACCTGTGATCGCAGCCCTCAGGCTGAGATAGGAGGACAGATACATTTTAGTTTGAGGCCGCCTTAAATGACATACCATGACTCTGCCTAAAACTTTAGCAGAACAAATAAACATGAGTTAATCTGTAGTTTCAGGTGTGTTGTGGCCACACTGAGACTGACTTGCCTCTAATAGTGTGTTGAATACAAGCAATACAGGGATAGTGTGTAAATTCTTGCCCAGCCCGGCCTTCCTCCATTGATTCTTTCTTGGTGCATATGGACACTGAGAGGAAGTTATCAGATTGAGCGGCTTGAACAGGAGTGTGGTGCTCAGCTGTACTACACTGTGCTCTGGAAGTCTATGAAGTCTGCTGGTTTCTGGCCTGTCTATAGCAGTAGTACTCAGACTAAGCACTTACCCTAGACAGGAGTTGCACACACTCTCCAGTACGAAGGGCTGGGATCTCTAGAATTCATCGGAGCTTTATTGCATTTCCTGCATGTGCCCTCCCCCAGAAGTTTAGCCACTCTTGTGTCTGTCTTTCCTCGTTTCCATGGAAGTGGTCCTCAATTCGTGACTTCCTCCATCTCAGAAGAAATGGAAGCCCCTCATGTCTTAAGTCTCAAGTGAAGAGAGATGGTAAAACAAAAGAAAACCAAACCAAACAACCAAACAAAAAACCCTCTCTTTGTGTAAACCACCTTCTGAGTCAGGAACTCCAAGGAGTCTTCAGTACTGGGTGCAGTCCTGAAGTCTGGGGCACAGGACCAGACCCATTGTCCACAGACACTTTCCAAATGACAGAGAGACAGATCTGGAAGGCTGTGTCCCCTCTAACTGCAGCTTTCCAAAACAGCATGCTTTCTCCCCCATGTTAGACTCAGTGGCCAGAAGTTCCCCAGTCACCTGTCCCAAACTGAGATTGTTGGTAAATATGACGCATTCACTGACTGTCCATCCCCTCTCCACAGTCGTGAAGCACATGTTTCACATAGCTGTTAGCCAGCTCTGCTGTGCAGTTCTGTGCACACGTGCCCACAGATGGAAGGGACAGCTGGGGCACTGTGCATGCCTCCCACTGCTCCTGGACTGCTAATGGAGTTTTCAAGTGTCAGGAAATAACCTTGTCTCCTCTTGGCAATTTAAAGAAGACTCAACTGGCTTCCTTCACTTTTAAAAATAATTTTCAGGAAACCACATCCTTAACAAAGGTTGTAAAAAGAAAGTTAAGTACAGTTGTGCTTGGGAATAATCAGTACCTTCTGGAGAGTGTACGGCTCATAGCATAATGGCTAAAATTTAAAAATATATATTTTGAACTTATCGAATGGAACATTTTGTGCTGAATTAGATTTGAGGCACCATTTTCTTCAGCTACATTTGCAGCACAATGTAAACTGCACTCACATCTGGCTGTCCATAGGGAACATTTTAATTCATGCGTTTCTGAAGTTCAGGTCTAGTTTCCTTTAAAGGCTCACTTGTGTTTGTCTCATGATGGATGTATACAGCTTGTCAAATGTCACTATTCTTTTATGAATGGAGAGACATGATGCTGCCTGAGATATGCACTCCTCAGCCCAGATCTTATCTATATGGTGATGCCAGGCTGCTCCTGCAGGAAGCATCTTGCTGGATTTGTGGTTACCTGTTTCCTTCTTAGTTCCCGTCAGAGACAGGAAAGCATTGAATGCCTATTGTATACTCTCTGCAGAAAGATAAAGAGGAGACGCAGTGCTACCAAAGACCCCTCGAAAGTGTGCGCCCTATAAATAAAAGGGCTGTGGACTGACTCCATGATTGATTCTGCGTAATTGTAAAAACAATTCATTTTTACATGTTTGAGTGTTGTATTCCCAGGATGAGTCCCGAGACCTCTGTGGAGAGGACGGGAGGACAGGAAGGAAGTCTTCCTTCCAGTAATTCATTCATCACGCCATGCTGACACGCAGAGCTGTACCCCACAGAAACGAGTTTTATTGTACGCTTCCCATTGTTTCCTAACCTCAAGATGTTTAGTGGTCACAAAGATGCGATTTATGAAGTGTACATGTCTCAAACTGCACCATAAGTGCATTGCAGCTGTTCCTATCAAAGACCTCAAGACAATTTAAGGAACTAACTAATGTAGACGTGGCATGTCACAGTTGCCATGGTTTCAGGTCTGTGCACTTGAGTTCTTCCTTTCAGATAGTATTTGTTAGCTTTATTTTATGTGTGCGAGTATTCTACCTGTATGCATGTCTGTGCACCACATGCATGCCTGGTGCCCTCAGATCCATGTGGAGTCGGATAGACAGATAGACAGCTGTAAGGTGCCATGTGGGTGCTCGAAACTGATCTCCTGGAAGAGCCAGCAGTGCCCTCACCACTGGGACATCTCTCCAGCTCTCTTGAATGCTTTGCTAGTGTTGTTGATGAGTGCTTTTATCTTAAATTATTCAAGAAGAGTCAAACTAACCATCTTATAATTTCCCTAAATATCTAATACTGTCTGACAAATGACTGTATTAAAAGCAATCTCCTCCGATTTGCTTTGTTTGAGATGCAGGTTTTACTCTGTATCTGTCTTGTCCATAAGACTTATCATTTCTAATCTACCTGCCTGGGATTTTCTTTACTGATGTATTAAAATATAAGATAGTAGCTAAGAAATGAAGGATTTTACTTCTAACAAAGATGAGTAGGGCCTCATTTTCCCAAGACTCTCCTTTCTTGCCTTACAGGGTTAGTACTTGTTAGCTGAGTCACATCCCACCCAGGAAGCAAGGAGTTTATGGATGTGGCTTACGACTCCAGGAACAGCCTGACTCTTGACCTCTAGTCCTCTTGACTTCTAGTCTGTTGACTCTTTGAGTAGAGGACTATAGATCAATTCAGAGTGGAGTTTCCTCCGGAGAACCTGGTAGACGGGAGGCTCTTACACCTGCTTTCCAGAGCTGTCTTCTCCAGGGCTGTGCTGGAAGAGGCTGAGCAGGACCCTTAAACCTTGCTGGGATTTCTTTTTTTTAATCTCCTTCTTTCATTTCTTCATTTCTTCCTTAAACACTAACCGAGGTGTTAGACACAGTATCAGTAATCTCTCCCATTTGTTTGAAATCATGTATTATTATATGGTCTGTTTTGATAGTGTTTTCTTGAAATAATGACTTGTGGTACTCATAGACTTTTGTTATAAATTAATTACAACTATTATATTTTAATGATTACAGGAATTTAAAGTAATAGAAACTGGATGACAACGTTGAGTGTTTGTAGTGGTCTCAATAGAGAGCTAGGATAAAGGAGGCCCAGCTTCGGTCACCTCCTGCACCATCCTTACTCTGGTCACTAGGAGCCCTGTGTGTTGCACAGCTGTACTTTAAGGATAAGCTGTAAGAGGTCAATGGCAAAGAGTTAAAACATACCCAAGAAGAAGTAAATACGTTATGTGGGAAACCATGGGCTAGGAAGGCGTTCTCCGGCCATGAGAGTGTGACGGGTACATGTGCAGCAATGCATCTGAGCATTTTTATGGCACCCAGTCCTAACAAAGGCAAGTCAAGGTTCTTTCTTCGTAAGATGGGCACCTCCTGGTGACGATGAATGGGACTGGGGGGAAGAAATCATTCAAAGCAGCTGTATATTCACAAGATCAGGTCATACTTAGTGTCTTGTAAAATGTCTGTAGTCAGAGGAGAGAATGCCAAGGGCCAAGCAAATGAGAGCATCATGACTGGCGAAATCCCCATTGCAGTCAGCAGTATGACTTTTAATGAACGCACTAAGTGCTGTTCCAGTCTAAGAAATTGGAAGTCAAACTGCCCCTCACCTGATTTGACTCAACAGTCTACAGCAGCTAATAGCACATAAAAAGCTCTTGCCTCCCAGGAGAGTGGGGGCAAAGGGATAGTCCCACCACCAGTAAATGTAGTAGGTGAGAAAACGAGAATTCCATGCATTAAAATCACAGTTGTCTAAATGGATGTTGACTGACGGACTCCTCCAAGTGTCTCTGAGAGTACAGAGCCTAAGGCTGTGCTCCGCAATGGACACTCCATTTTGCTAAGAATTCTCTCGAGTGACCTTGGACAAGTCACATCACCCCTAAGTCATTGATGCCATGTTGGCTACAGTCTGCTTGTTGGATTTTAAATTGCATCCAGTCATCCGCAAAACAGGAAATTTATCAGATACTGTATTTTTCAAATACATTAATTAAAGTATATGTAAGGCACACTGCTTTGATCTTGGATATATTGAGTGTTGCCCATGCACCCCAAGATACTTTTCCTTACCTTTTCTTTTCTTCTTTTTTCTTTTCTTTCCTTTTCTTTTCCATAGAACAAATTGGCCAAGAAATGTTGGAAAACCTGAGTCATGACAGAGAAAAGATACAGCGAGCACGTGAGCGAGTGAGTATGAGTCATTCCGTCATTTACATGTTGATAAATGAGAAGGCACAGATGAGAGGCTGTTGGGACAGACACAGGACACTGACAGCCCAGCCAAGAGCATGCCCGTGTCAGGACAGTGGGGTAGGTGGCCATGTGCAGGAAGAGAAAGCAGGGGCTTGAGATGAAGAGAGAAGCGGCCAGAGCTCTCCTCATCTCAGAATGCCGCTGAGGAAATATTAGATTAACTCCATGACTAAGAAAAGAAAGCCACTAAGGGAGATTTTGGAGTGTATCAATCTTTCAGAACAAAGATTGTGAAAATACTGACCCTCACCTTCCTTGACTTCATTTCATTTCCATTTATATTTTTAAGACTGTGCATACTTATATATTAAAGATTAATCACCACAGGAATGTTAAGCCCTGCCTGTGTGTGAGGCACTTTTTATATCTGCTCCAAGTATCCATCTTCCTGGAGTCCCCTCAGGTCGTTCTTCAGTCTCAGGAACTGTGAGTCTATGCTTGTGTGTGGCATCTCACTGCTGGGCTTTTCTCCCGTGGGACTCAGTTATCCTACAGCGGATGCTCTAGAATCATCTGATTCAATTCTCCTTTGCTTCCACCATGCTTTTCCCATGTAGCTCCGGGAAACAGATGCAAACTTGGGGAAGAGCTCCCGGATTCTGACAGGGATGTTGCGAAGGTAAGAGCCAGGTAGGGAGTAATCTTTTGTTTTCCTCTCTTCTTAACTGTGTTTTCCTCCCATCGGGACTGAGCGTTTTAAGGCTGCTGGGATTCTGCCTCTCCCTCCTAGGCAGGGTCAACACCCTTGCGAAATAAAAGAGCACTGATGCTAACCCTTTCTGTCAGATACATATAATGGGTTACTCAAATTAGAGGCAAGATAGGCTGGGGGCCGTACCTCAAGCTATGGGAAACATTAGGTTAGACCAGAAGCATTTGTCTGTAGCCTGAGGAAGCCCATGGCAAGAGCATACGACTTTCCTCTCACTTCTGATGGAGGCAGTGCAAGCCTGCCATTATCCGGAGAACACTGGGTACCGGTTCTGCTCACTGGTGCCTTGTTTCATTCTGAGAAGAAGGCTGCTGGGGAAACAGTGCGACTCAGGTAGAAACTTAACATTGATAAGAATGTCGAAAGTATCAGAGTAACTTGAATCCAACAAATATTTTAAGTACTTCATGTGTGACTAAGTTTTGATGGATGGAAAATATTTGAGTGAATTTATAAAGGTAAATGAACACAGAGGGTCATAGTCTACGTCTGTTGTACACTTACTTATTTTACACTAGTGCTCTAGAGAGTAAAAAGACTGTTTGCCATGGTCATGCAAGGGTAGAACTCTGAGTGGCTTGGTGGACGAGGAGCGTTGAGAGTGAGTCGAGGAAGAGCAATCTCTTCTTTTCAGACAGCTGTATAATACAGCTGAAGCCCTTTCTGCCTGTGCATCCATGTACAGAAACATGCTAAAGCTGTTTGCAATGCTAAAGGCTCACTGTGTAAGAACCAAGTAAATGTATAATTATTACTTCTCAGGGTGATGTGATTTCTCCATGACCCCATCAGTGGTGAGCCCTCAGTTCCCAGCATGTTACCCACCAAGCTTCTTTCTACCCTTTCTCTTCCCTGGAGGCACTATCCCAACTCAGAAACAGAACCTGCAGGGGCCCTGCTTTCAGAGCAGAGCATAAATGACCTAAGAAAGACTCAGAGTCCAAGGAGAAGAGCACTAGCAACTGAAGGAATGCATCAGTGCCTAAAGACAATAAAAAGAAAAAGACCTGCACTCCTGCTTCCCTAGGAGGCCCCTGCGATATGAGCTGTAACGAGCCTTCTGCATATGTCTCCATTTTGTCAAATCTCATTAAAGAGTCCTCCTGCTTTCTGTCGATTGAGCTGTCCAGAAATCATTCATCATTTTTAGTGTAAAAAAAATCATGTGGTTATTTAAATAATATCATATTAATGTTAAAGTTCAGCTGTCACTTCATGGTATGGCTTAATCAGATGTAGCATTTAGGGAAAATAGTTTTTTCTGGCTCTTCGTGGCTTTCAGGTTGGCAGACTCAAATAAGGATTTATGACTTTCTAAACCCGTGTGCTTCTGCCCATGTTTCTGCTTGATGTACCTCACCCTTGGTACAGGACACTGCAGACAGTTGTCTCAACAGATAGAGCATCCTTTCATATGGTGTTTGAATAAATTTGCAAGTCATTTAGAGAGGGTGGGAACACCAACAACTTCTGCAGCCTTTGGGCTTTCTGGAGGGAAATCACACCCCCCAAGGTGGCTTCCTGGGGGCTGCCATCTACTTGAGCTTCCCTTTGTAGGCAAATGCAGCTCTACACTGTACCATCTCCTTTTGAGATGTGTCTAGGGCCATCCTTTCTCAACCTCTCAGTCATGACTCCTTTGAGGGTCACATATCAGATATCCTACATAGTAGATATTTACACTACAATTCATAACAGTAGCAAAATCACAATTATGAAGCATAAAAGTACATAATTTTATGGCTGGGGATCACCACAACATGAAGAGCTGCATTAAAGGGTCATAGCATTAGGACTATCAAGAACCACTAAAAGTCTAAAGGATGAACAGAACTAAAACTCCCCAGATAGGCATGTCATCTTGCTATGCCTGAGGCAGGGATGCCCTCAGGTCCTTTGGTGTTGCATATTGGACTTTGTGTTGCACTAGACACAGCTAGCATGTGGATCTCTGCCAAGACACCATGAGAAGCACCTCCACGCAGTGCTCTAACTCAGGCATCGGGGACAGCACCTTCAATCAGTGCTATAACTCGGGCATCAGGAGCCAAATGCAGAGTGGTGGCTTAGGGTTTTGTTTCTAGTTACTGTCCCACATGTCGAGCAGTTGATTTTCTACTTGAGGAAATGCAAACATCTTGCCAGCTACTTCATTACTTGGGACTTATTTCCCAAAAGTAAGTCTCTTAAGATATAGGCCCAGTGCTCACTTGTGGACTTGTGGATCTTAAGATATAGGCCCATCCTGATGTCTTGTCCTCCCTTCCATCCCCCTATTCACCTGGCATTCGTTGCCCAGCACTGAGGAGGGGAATTACAGAACCCACATTGGACACTCCTGCTCACACTAACACTGTGCAGCCACAGTGTGCTCCAACAGGTGCTTCTGACTTAAGGGGTGGCTGGTATTGAACCCTGTGCTCACAGTTCGTCTTCACAGATAGGTGAAGGAAGAGAATGTCTTTGAATCATGCATTTACCTATGAACGAATAAACCCGTTATATGATAAATTCTGTGAAACAAATACAAACCAGAGAAATCTGATAAAGATTGCTGGTTGTTTTAACTATTGTTTTTAAATTTGTACAGTGAACATCATCTATAATCTGCACCAGGTTATGTAGCAACGGCTAGTCTGTCATGAAGACAGGAGTACCTGTGTTCATTTGTACCAAAATCTGTACCTGTGTCAACTTAGTCATCTAGGAAAGTGACCAAATAAGTAAGCAGTAGAGTCTACAGGACCCAGAGCCTCTAACCCACCCACCACCCATGCCTCTCAGTCTTTTGTCAGCTTCCTTCCTCCCTCATGTACCTCTTATTTCTTTCCCTTTTCTCCCCTGCTTATTCATGTCTTCAGTAAATATTTAATGTCTGTGTACACAGCCCAGGGATTCAGAAATACAAACACATCTTTCTTTGCCTTTATGATGCTTCAGTGTACAGAGAATATGTGCACCAAAATAGACTATAGAAATTACCTAGTTCTCAAGGAAACTGCTCCAGCCCTCCAGCTCTGACTCTTCCTTGCAGATTCCTAGAGGACTCCAGAAGTACCAACAACCAGAAAAAGATAAATTAGAGAAATAGAACGTGGTTTGTTTAATCATAAACTAAAAATGCTTTACAAAAAGTGTTATACAGAAAATATTGACATGTCTAGTTTAGTGAAATAGCAACTGATCCAGTTGAACAGAAATTCTCTTTCATGTAGCTATACCATCTTGTCAAAGGGAGAAAACAAGGGAGAAAATTGGTCCATTCAGGATTATAGCAGTAAAACATGACATCAGAATGAAGCCATAGCTGATTCCTGGAAAGTAATTTTTCTGTTCTCTTGACATAGATGGAGAGCTACCTCAGGACAGACTATTCATTTCCTGGCTCTCTAGACAGACTTTAAATAAAGTGGGATTCAGATAATATTGAAAATAGCCACAAAACAAATAGCCATTCATGTGATAACTGGGGCTGAGGAATGGATTTCTCATTGAGTCTCACAAAATTCGGTAATTGTAATTGGTTGTCCTTGGGTGTGGCGGCTATCACTGGGGACTCAAGTGTTTCTTCCTGTGTGTATGCGCCCATGTTTGTACTAGCAAGCACGTGTGTTTTATGGATCTTACTGGAAATCCTTTTCTTTTTTAACTTGGATTCTTTTTGCTATTATTGTTTTTCAGGACAGAGTTTCTCTGTGTAGCCCTGGCTGTCCTGGCACTTACTCTGTAGACTAGGCTGACTTGAACTCAAAGATTTGTCTTCCTCTGCCTCCCAAGTTCTGGGATTAAAGGCATGTGCCACCACCACCTGTAACTGGGATTCTTATCATATCAAATAGTAATGAGAATCAATAATAATAAAATTTGAGATTTTCAAGACTTTTATTTAAAAAGAAAGGAAGAAGGAAGTTAGGACTCTGTTTTGTTTACCTCTGAAGAAGTAAATAATCATTTGTAATTTGTCGTTACCAGCGTCTTTTCTAGAGATACCGGTCTTCCTGTAGAATGCAGCAGCAGTGTAGCCTGGGCGCTCCCTTAGCAGGAAGTTGGAAGACATGTTACAACCGTATGTGCCAATGACATTGTCTGTGCTGGTGTCTGGGTTACAGCAGGGATCAGCCTCTATTTGATGAGCTCAGTGTCATATACTTTGACAATGGCTGCCATACATACTATCAGAGTGCTTCCGTCAACAGTGAGTTCTGTCCCAGTGGCTTGTAGGACTCCTTTCACAGGGCATTGCCAGTGCTTCTTCTGCAGCTGACCGGGGAATGACCAAAGCAGACATTGCAAATGCAGTGGCCTCACAGCACTGTTTGTCATATGTCGGTGAGCATGCTTGTCAGTTATTTGAGCCTGGGGAACCACAGCGCCTGTCCTTGCAATCACAGTTTACGTCTACTCTGCTTGTCCAGGTAAAATGACAGACAAACGTGCAGGCTGACGATTTGTAAGGGTAGGTGTAAGATCACTCCACTGCAGACACAGGTTTTCAGAACAAAGAGACTTATTTTACATAGGCCATGACCAGGTGTTTATGCTGCTTTCGAAGGTAACTCCTCCTTGACCTTAGTCTGCAGCAAACACTGTGCTGTGTTCTAGGTGATCATGTAGTGTCTGAGACTCAGCAGGCCTTTCAGGACAGTAAGGAAGGGGCCGTGGGAGTGTGCTCCTGCTTCTCCTGAGTAGATCCCTCTTTTCCTCTCACTGTCATCCTTCCCTCCCCTCCCTTCCCTTCCCCTTCCCTCCCCCTTCCCCCCCCTCCCTTCCCTTCCCTTTCCCCCTTCCTTTTTCCCTTCTCTTTTCCCTTCCCTTTTCCCTTCCCTTTTCCCTTCCCTTTCCCCCCTCCCTTTTCCCCTTCCCTTTCCCCCTTCCCTTTTCCCCCTTCCCTTCCCTTCCCTTTCCCC